TATGTGCATTCAAATCATTATTTTACATACTTATCACAAAGCAAATTAATATATCATAAAACCTCTACCAGACTTTTTACAAATGCCTGTAAAATCGGCGCTGTATTTGAAGACTATAAATCTGTAAAAGCAAATATCGGAGCACTAATGCTGGTGAAATGATCTACATAATCCTCATAATCCTCATAATCCTCACACTTCTTATAGAAGTTGATCATCACTTTGTATGTATGCGTATAATAGAAATTACGAAAATAATTTAGATTAACAGAATTTGGTTTATGAGTTTTATAAATTTTTTACTTCAAACACCATGTAGTCAGCATTTGTTCAAGTACTTCATAGAGCAAATATACAAATTACTTTGCAATCTAACCCATCAATTGTTAACTATTTACTTAGCTAATCCATTGCAAACACATTACACGATTATAAATACTACTCATAAATCAAATAACTTTAGCATAAATTGTATGCATTCTAGTTCGCTTAAGTCGATAAGGTAGTTGAATTTCCCCACAATTATAAGAGCGGATCTTCCGTTTACACTGAATTTCACATAGCCTTGCTTCTCAAAATTTTGTTCTCAATAAATCAGAAGTGAACTGCTGTTTCGAAATCGCCTAGGTTTCATCAGTTTTCCCACCGGGAGTGGAAACATGACAGTGCAGTGTATAATCTTTCTATATTTTAAGCACTACATCGCATATGAAATGTATTCACCCTATTTCGTCAAAAGTGATGAAGGACTGCTAGTAGAATTTTACCACAATGAGTTGAGTTGAGCTGACGTTTCCATTGAATTTCACATAGCCTTGCATTCCCAAAAGTTGTTCGGTCAGTAAATCTCTTTATCTCAAAACGTCACACAAAGTGAAAGTTGGCCCGACCCTTTTATATGGAATAGGGTGTGTTTTCGAGGCTATTGACAGTATAGTTCTGCCTGCAAGTACCGAATCTTGAAATTCATCAGGATTTTAAGCTACACATCTCTGCTTGCAAATAGGCTCTTTAAGTTAGCATTAAAATTATGTTATCTCGCAAAAACATATGCAAGAACCCCTTGCCTCTGAGCTTTATTATGAAGCTATTTGCGGGTTATTGGGAAATATTATATTAATGTTGAAAATATGTGGACAAAATTCTTATCTATCAGTTGGTGAGACCTTTAAACTGGCAAGCAAAGCTATGTAAAAGTTGAATAGAAACGTGAGCTCAACTCATATCAATGCGGGAAAATTCTACTACAAGTCCTTCATCAGCTTAGACGAAATAGGGTGAATATATCTCATATTACTGATTAACTGGTAGTCTCGAAACTCTACATCGCATTGCCGCGAGTCCCCTCGGGTCACAAGACAGATGTGAATTTTATGGAATCTCTTTTCATTAACGATCTCACACATAATGTAATATATGAAAATGCCTGATCTTCCTTTAAATTCACATTTTCCTTCTATGGGAACATATTATCTATTCATATCATTGTGGAAAATTTAGTTATCAGTCCTTCATTGCCTTAAAATAGAAAGTGTCGAAATAGCTCATATACATGCTTTAGTAGTAGTCACGAAATCTCACTTACAAGCGAAATATAATGTAACATAACTTTCAAAGTATAGCCACTTAGGGTCACTTAAGTTGATTAATGTTTTATATGAAATTTTTACCCAATTAGGGCAGTAGTCTTCAAGCTTCAATTGAATTTTATTTGACCCTATTTCTTCAAAGTTATTTTCACCTCTGCTGGACTGAATCGCAGTTTCGAGCTCACCTGTATCCCATCAGCACCTCGAACGGGGCTCGAACTCGAGTGGTGCAGAATGCGATTTCGGCATGTTACCATTGCGTCAAATCGCTAAGAGGACAAGTCGATCAGAGGGAGCACAAGTGAATTTCATGGCATTCTAGGCCCCTATCATATCACACTTTTATAACTGGACTAAAGCCGAAGCAACTCGTATTTAGCATCACGGTCTACAATGCTAATTGCATTTGTGTTGCGTAGGATTTTTTGACTATCAGTAGATCCAGAGTGATAAAAAA